CACTTTCATCCAGTTAAGATCTGTCCCGACCCAAAGGCCAATAGCCAGGCTAGCTGACCCTAAGGACCCAAAGCTGGACGACTCAGCCAGCCAGCCCTGCCTGTGGGGGGCTCTGAAGAATGCTAGGAAAACTTGGAGAAATCATCCCAACGTGCTCTCCTAGGGCCTCAAATGCCACTGCCACAGCTGGGTTTGGGGATCAGGAAGCCTGTCAGCCTTGACCTAACAGTGCCCATATGAAGTACAAACGCCCGAGAAGAGGTGTCATGAGTGTTACCAGCTATAACTCTAGGAGTTCGACTCTTATTGGTAATTTTGATAAAATGGCAGAATGCCCTGTGATGCTTTAAAAAAATATACATTCCTGGGTATGAGTCAGTGGGTGTGGTCACCGGCCCCAGTGACCCCTGCCTGCTGACAGTCACACCTTTGTGCGGTCCCTTCTGCACTGGGCCAGGGTTGGTGTGTTTGCAACTGACATACGGCATGTGGCAGAGGGAGAGCATGTCACTTCTGAGACTCTGGTACGAAAGATCGGGACTTCTATGTTGGATGCTCTCTCTCTCTCAGATCACTTGCTTTGGAGGAAGACCGCTGCCATGTTTGTGAGGACACTTGACAGTTTAGGAAGAGGCCTGCAGGGCAAGGAAATGAGGCCTTGAGCCAACAAACAAGGTGGAACCGAGGGAGGTGGGTGAGGGGCCATGATGGAAGGAGGCCCTCTGGCCCCAGACAAGCCTTTGGATGGCTGCAGCCTTGGCCATCAGCCTGATGACAGCTTCAGGAGAGACCCCTTGAGCCAGATCCCCCAGCCAAGCAGTTCCCAGATTCCTGGCCCCGTGAATGTATGTGGGATGGTAAATGTCTGTTTTTGTTTTTGTTTTTTTAAGCTGTTAGATGTTGAACCATTTATTATGCAGCAGGAGATAATTCATGCAGTCGGTCGAGGGTAAGACCAGAAAGCTGTAGATTTAAAAGCTTCCCAGACAGATCTCATGTGCAGCCCAGGTTCAGTACCATGGGTTTAGGGACCTAACTGCTCCGAGTTTTCCGGTGGCAAAGCTGACTCATAGTGGCATGTGTGCATGGGAGCACCAAAGCCCGGATGGCTGTGTGGACCCCCACTGCATATAGAGATGAGGGTGGGGAAGACCTCCGCAACCAGAAGCCCCTAAGACTGTAAGTGTCAGACACGGCCCCGGAGAACCAGGAGTGCTTGCTGACTTATTGTTTCCTGGAAGAAAGAGAGAAAATGTGGAATATGTGCTGGCCTAATAATTCTCACCATCGGATTAGTAGTAGAACCATTTCCTCCAATGAAACAATTCACAGTAGACTGGTTTAGAGATGCCAGCAGAGCAGTTCTGGGTGAGCCCAAGTAGGGGCCGCTGAAACTGCTTCTCCAGCCTCCCCACTCCTAGTAGGACTCCCAAGGCAGCTCTGAAAAATCCAAGGGCTTCACAGTTGGCAGACCTGTGATCTAGTCCAACTGAGTCATTCTACCGATGAGTAAACTGAGCTGGAGGGAGGGGAGGTGACAGCATTTCTGGGGTGGAAGTCTGCAGCTTGATTCTCCTGACTTCTAGTGCCATCTTTCTGCACTGCCTGGGAGGTCACTTAGGAAGAGTACCCAGGGTGGGACACAGGGAACTGCTCCCTCTCCCGCCTCTGAACCAGGCCAGGGGAGCCCACCCCGGGAGGGAGCACCAGGCACTGTTCTCAATGCTGCACAGAACTCAGTATTCAATCTTCACCAACGCCCCTCTGAAGTAGAGACTGCCATTATCTTCATTTTACACAGGAGGAAACTGAGGCAGAACAAGGATAAGTAATTAGCCCAGTTACTTGGCTTAGTCAGTGGCAGGGCCAGGATGCCATGAAGTCTATCTCTTAGGTCCAGATGCCAATTAACTCCTGAGCTCTGCTGCCTCCCCCAGCCAGGGGCACAGCTCTTCCTGCCCTTCAAACAGAAATGAAAGCCCCTCCACTCTGCTCTGCTCCCTAGGGAGCTAGGAGACAGGCACCAAATAGGAGAAAGAGGTCATACCAGTTACCTTCCTGGCCAGGATGTCCCCCGCTTCTGGCTCAAAGGCCACCAAAGAGTCAACACCTCACCTAGGGCAGGGGAATGTGGATTCTCACTTGGATCTGTGTCTCTCAAACAATTTTTTCTATCAACCACGAATGCTGTAAGCATTTAGGAATGGAGCAATAAAATAGTAATTTCTGAGTACTTTATCCTTTTATCTTTTGCACCAAAGCTAGCTTTATATTAGCGGTGATAACTGAATACAGATCCAGCCCAGAGGATGCTCTGTGCACTGGGATACTCCATGCCATTGACCTACACACCATGGCTGAAGATACAAATTCTTTTTTTCTCCCAAACTTACAGGAAAGTTGTAAGGATGATACAAAGAACTTTTCTATGCTCCTCACTCAGAGTCCCTGACTGTTAAAGCTCACCATTTGGTCTTCAGCTCATCTGTGTATCTACATACCCATTATTTTTTCTTTCTCTAAACATTTGAGGACAAGCTGCAGACAGGAAGCCCCATATCCCTCAAATCCTCTACTGTGTATTTCTCAGAAACAAGGACACTTCACTATAGAGCCGTAATCTAGCCCTTCAGGTCAGCACACCGACACCCAGGTGTCACTACTGTCCCCTTCCCCAGATCCCCATTCACATTCTCCAACTGTCCAATAAAGTCTTCTGGTTCAGGATCTCAGCAAAGAACACACATGGTTTTCAGTCTGCCTCTTTAGGCCCCTCTGACCTGGAAGATTCTTTGGTCTTTTCCTGTCTTTCATATACAAGTGGTTCAAAGGAATGGTCCTTACATTTGTTTCTTTATGATCAGACTCGGGCCATGCTTTCTTAGCAGGAGACCCCTCAGAAATACTGTGGGTGCTTCCCGTGCAGCACACCAGACAGCACATGGTGGCTACCCATCCCGTCGCTAATGATGTTAACCTCAATCATATGGTCAAATTAGACTCTGGCAGGTTTCTCCACCAGAAGGTCACACATTTCCCTTTGTAATAAGGTGAGTCCTATCTGTGCTCCAGTCTGGTGCCTAGAAGAGAATTTCTAGACTGCAACACAGGGGGAGTAGTCTACACAGAGTCAAGTGGTCTCAGTGAGTTATGGGGACAGAGTTCAAAATTCAGGGAGTCTGAGGCAACTAGAATTTGCAAGGCAGAGCACCAGAGAAGAGAAATCCAGAAATCTGCAGACCATCGTGTCTCTGGCTGAGCACTAATTTGTGCATGTGTGTGGGGAAACTTCCAGAGCCAGTAGAAGGCTTCCTAAAAGGAATGGACAGAAAAATCCCCTGAGATCACACAGGGCTAGAAACATTCTGTGTTCCCAGTGGATGAGGTTGAAACACTTCTATTGGGAAGCAGTCTCAGAAGGGTGTTGACTCAGTAGTGGAGTAAGAGGTATTGTAGACTAAAGGCCTTCCACCTAATAAGGCTTTAAAAACAAACCTTGAAAAGATGAAGCTCTTCTGAAGTAACTTAACTGTGTTCCAGAACAATCCCCCGGATACATAAATGAATACTAACAAAAATCCAGCACCCAACAATGTAAAATTCCTAATACCTGGCAACTAATCTAAAATCACCAGGACACATACACAAATATTTCCAGGAGAAAAATCAATGAATACAAACAAACACTGAGATGACATGGATGGCAGAAGCAGTAGAGAAGAACCTTAAAACAGTTATTATCAATATATTCCTTATGCTCAAGAAGATTGGGGAAAGCATGGGCATGAAGAAGAGAGACATGGAAGACAGAGAAAAAAAGATCTAAACGGAACTTCTAGACATGAACAACACAATATCCGAAATGAACAATATCCTAGACGGTATTAATGCTAGGTTTCACTTTGCAAAAAAAGACTAATGAACCTGAAGACACAGCAATGGGAACTATTCAAAATGAAGCACACTGAGAAGAAAGACTTAAAAAAAAATTAGCAGAGTTTGAGGAGCCATGGGAAAATAGGAAGAAACACAGCAGATGTATCATTGGAATCCCAGCAGTGGGAGGAGATGGTGGCTGAAGTTTATCTAAATTTGATTAATAGATCTAAGATCTAAGAAAGACAATAAACGCCAAGTAGAAGAAACAAAGAAAAAACCAGCTCAAGGCCCATCCTCTTCAGATTGCTGAGACCTTGACTGGGCATTTGATCATCTCCCATTAATGGGCCCGAGGCATGGACACTGAACCCACAAAATGGGACAAGCACAAAGGGAGCAGGAAGAGAATGGGCGAAGGTGAAGTGGCATGAGATTCAGGTGGGAAGGAGAGCGAGATGTGGTGAGTGTGGTGGCAGATCACTGGCGGGGTGGGCTCAGTCACCTTGGAGACTGGTTCTCACTCGGCTGTGGCAGGTCCCAGTGCCATGCCCGGATGCAGATTCCTACTATTTCGGCACCAGAAACATCTAGAGAACTCAGATCTGCTCTATGCTGAGTGGATCCTATTGTCCCAGAGCCTGGCTTAATTCAGGGAAAGGAGCCCAATCGATGATAATATCAGCAAGCACAGAGGACACCTGGAGGCTGGCAGGACAACTCCACTTTTCAAAAGCCTAAAAATAGCCCCAACCATGCTGGAAATCCCAGCAGTCCCACCAGTCCCACTAGAACACACCGCAGGACGCCTCGCCTGTGGAGACTTCAGGTCAAGGGACAAAAAATTTCCAAGTGCTCTGAGTTGCCAGAGCACGGCCCCATTTCACCTCTGGGGGCTCTCAGGCCTGCCACCGATGCTTACAGCAGAGCCAAGAGTGTGCCGCCATACGCATCACCATGAGACAGCCTGGCCGTCGGCGGGCACCTACCCCTGCCCACCTACTGCTGCAGGGACACCCAGTTCCACCCTGCTGGAGCAAGGGGCCAAAAGAACATGTAGGCTCAGCCCAGACTGAGGATCTGGACCTGGCTGGAGGGGTTGGAGACTCTGCTCCTGTACCTACCTGCCAGGCTGGGAGAACCTTCTCGATGTCGTTCAGGTTGATGCTATCCCCGTCTTCTAGCTTCCCTTTTCCACACCTGGACCAGAAAAGACAGAAAGGCACTGAAAAGTTGGCAGGTTTATGCTTCCTATCCCGGCCTGGCAAGCAGAAAGAGCAGACACCTGGCCCTGCTTCCCGAAGGCCTGCAGGACTGGTCAGTCCCATCCCGAGGAAACAGCCCTGAGAAGCATGCCCTCCTTCCCCAGGCCTGGCAACATGGGCCCTGCCTCGAGAATGAAGGACGTTGTACAGGTGGGAGTGCTGGGATGAGTCCAGGGGCAGGGAGCACTAATGTGACATCCAACGGGGAGGTTAACAGAGGTCCCAGAGCTCCCTTTGATCCTTCCAGGCAAAGATGCTAAGTTCCTTGCTGACGAATACCCCCAAACCTGTCACAGCTCCTGCAAAGCCCATCATCTCCCCCATTATACCAGAGGGACAACGAATGAACAGAAAGACTAAGCAACTTTCTTGAGGTCACACAGGCCTGCAACAGGGATTTCTCCTTCCTCGGCCTGCCTCTGGGCCAATCCAGCAAGCGCTCTCAGATGCTGATGCTTTGTCTTCATGCCCTCTGCAGGCAGCCCTACCATCAGGCCGCAGACACTGGCCTTGGTTCGCTACCCATCACCCACGTCTCCTGTGATTGAAAGACTCTGGGACCGGACTGCCAGGCTGGAACCCCAGCTGCATCCCTTACTAACTGGGTGATCCTATGTGACTCACTTAACCTCTCCAGAGGTTCTGGGGATCAAGAGTAGTGGCAGGAGGATTAAATCAGTTCATGTATCTAAGCACTTAGAATCATGCCTGGTACTCACGTACGTGCACACCCGTACGCCCCCATATACACACATCTGTATTATATGCCATATTCAATGGTATGCATATTATTATGGTAACTACGGGCAATAATTACATCAAATTCTAATAAGATAAATACGGCAAATACATTATTCCCACTAGGGCTACTACTCCTAGTACTAATATAATTTACAACTATCTTACTACTATTCCTACTATTACCGTTTTGCTACTATTTCACTGCCACTGTCTTGGCTGCTGTGGGGGGAAGAGTGCCAGCACAGAGACTGATTAAGAGCCTAGACTCTGGAGCTGACCTCAGCCCACGCAAGTTACTCACTTCTCTGTGCCTCCTAGTTCCCGCAATCTGTCGAAGTGAGGATAATAATGCTCCCGCCTCCGTAGGTTGGGTGAGTTTTAAATGACGTGAGGCGAACACTTGGAATGGTGCCCAGGACGGATTAGTGACTACTGCTCTCATTGTTATTATTAGGGACCCAGGCACCGTGAGGGCTCTCTGGTGTGATAGCCACAGAATTTTCCAGCTGCAGAATTAATGCAACTCTCAAATTTCAGAGCATGTATTTGTTCAATATTTACCGAGTGTCTGTTTTTCTGGCCCTGTCAACTTCCCTTGGAGTCATGGAAAAGAAATCTGGTGTAGTTCCTGCCCTCCACAACTCACAGCTCTTGGGAAACACACACTCAACTCATCTGACAGGGCAGTAAGCCCCATCACCAGTAGGGGGCAGCATGTGATAAGTATCTTGAAAGCCTTACAGACAGAGGAGCCCAGTGGGGGCATACCCCAATAAAGCTTGGGTGGAAGAGGGTAGGAGGACATGATCTACGCCCCTCGTTCAACAAGTGTTTCTGTGTGGGCTCCGGCTCGGGTTGGGCCCCAGTGTAAACAGTGCATAGACTGGGCCTCTCAGGGCAACAGAGGGCGGTACGGGAACCACGAGGAATGCTGCCCAGACCGTCCAGAGGCATCCAGAATGGTCTGGGGCAGAGGGAGGGAGGCAGGTCCTCAGCTGGCCAAGCAGAGAACGCGGGAGAATGTCCTGGGCAGAGGGTGGCAAGGCAGTGGCCTGGAGCTAAGCCCAAGTATGGGATGTCCGTGTTCCTGTCAGTGGAGTGTGGCGGATGGGGGTGGGTAAGGGGGCAAGATGATGCTAAGAGGGCTGGGGCCTGAAGGACAGCTCGGTTCTGGGAGGTGGATCTGGGGTGCGAGGGGAGTAAGGAAGGTGTGAGGGGCACGTCACCCTGACTGCAGCCTCCTGATGCCCTGGGCTGCAAGCAGACAGGGAGGTGGAAAGAGGTCTGGAAACATCCGGCTACCTTCTCACTACAGGCTGGCCGGAGAAGGTACCGATGGCTTGCCTCTGTATTTCATACACAGCATGGCAGTGGAAGGGAGGAAGTTGGGGACCATTGGCTGACTGCAATGGCTGACACCCTCTCCTCCCAGGTCATGTGTGCCACCCCCCACCTCTGGACTCCCAGCTGCCCCAGGCTCCAAGCACACGCTAGACACCAGCTTAGCTCAGCACAGGCGCGGTCTTTCATCCTCACCTCAGCGGCCCCTGGGGGCAGAAGGGGACCATGTACAAGGAGGGCTGCTGTCCCCTTAGACCCATCCTCTCTGGGGTTCGGAACTCCCCAGAGGGACTGCAGGTTCGGAGGGCAGAAGGTTGCCACAGACCAGCTGAGTCACTGCTGCCAACAGGGTTTCCAAGGCAACAGCCTTCTCTGATTTCTGTCCCTCCATGGAAACATGGTCTGCAGGAAGCCTTGGCAACCAACCTTGGTCCCCTGCTTCTGAGGGATGCTGCAATGGCTGGGCATGTGGCGTCCGTCCCCAGTATGGCTGGCCTCTAAGGGCGACACAGTTCCTGCCACAAGGTGGCCACTGGACGTTAGACTCAGGATCCCCACCCCCCCAAACTTGGGGGGCCCGGGTCTCACCTCTGCTCTATCCCATTCTAATAGGGCACCTCCATGTTGAAGGCCACCTCTACTCTCTACCCAAGCAAAAATGCTCTAGGGAGTTCTGATGGAACCCACACGGGGGGACAATGGAAAAAGGAGCCGTTGTGAGAGCCTGGGGTCCCCTGGGAGAGTACAGGCAAGTGATGGGTCTCTCCCCAGAAAAATTTCCACAAGCACATGAGTTTGCATGGAATTTTAAGGGGCTTAAGCTGCTTCGCAGATACTTTGGTGTGTAACCTGGGCACTGGATGGCATCAGAAGGCCTTAAATCATGGCTTGTCTACTTGGGCAAGTTAGTCTGCCTCTCTGAGCTACATTTCTCTCATATCTGGAATAGGGACAAAAGCATCTCCCTCCCCAGGCTGTTGCTCATGAACCTGGTGAGACCAGAGTGGTCAGAGAAGGGGTGCCTGCTAGGGTGGGGTGGGGAGCAGGTGAGAGGCAGTTATGTTTAACATAACCAATAATCTCAGTTATGTTCAGATCTGCAGTGACAGGAGCCAGGAGTGGACAGGAAGGGATTGGAAGGAAAAGTAAAAGTCATCAGCATAATAATAATAATAATAAAAAAAAGAGAACAACCAGTGTTGGCAAAGATGTGGAAAAATCAGAAGCCCTGAGTATTGCTGGTGGGAAAATATACAGCCTCAGTGGAAAATCGTTTGGCAGTTCCTCACAAACTTAAAACGAGGAATTACTATGTGTGGTATTGTGATTTATAGAAGATATATTTGGTCTTCTTCCCCAGTCCTGGTACAGAGCTCCTAAAATCCTTGGAATTCCTTAAGCCAAGACAGAGATAATGGTGTCTTTTGTTATGTTAATGTGACGGCTCTGGCGAAAACACTTAGGGAACCTAAGGGAGGGGCCTGTTTGACAGGGGACCTAACTTTGTGATTTCCAGTCCTAACTCTGACTTCCAGGGAGGGGAGAGGGGCTGGAGGTGTAATCAATGGTGAATGGCCAGTGATTCGATCAGTCATGACTGTGTAATGAAGTCCCCCCAAAAAGCCCCAAAGGAGAGGCTTTGGAGGACCTCGGGGAGGAGCTCACGCAGGGATTCTGGGAGACTGGCACTCTGGACAGGGCACGAAGCTTGGCAGCTTTCCCCATCCCTCTCCTATGCATCTCTTCCATCTGGCTGTTCCTGAGTTATATGCCTTTATATCAACCAGTCATCTAGTGAGTACAGTGTTTTCCCAACTCCTGTGCCCCCCATGCCCCAGCAAATCCATAGAAGCCAGGGAGGGGGTCGCTGGACCCCCAACCTAGAGTCAGAGATCTGAAGCACAGGTGACAGCCTGGCCTTTTGACTGGCATCTGCAATGGGGGAAAGGGACAGTAGGACTAAGCTCTCAACCTAAGTCTGTGGGGTCTGATGGTGTTTCCAGGTAGACTGGGTTAGAATTGAGCCAAATCGTGGACACTCAGCTGGTATCAGAAAACTGCTTGCTGGTGTTGGGGAAAAAAACACACACACGACAGAACTGGTGTCAGAATTGGACCACGTGACTCAGCAATTTCATCCCCAGGCCCATACCCAAAAGAACTGAAAACAGGGACTGAAACAAGTACTTGGACACGAAGGTTCATGACCGAATCTTTCACAATAGCCAGGGCATGGAGAGAACACAAATCCCCATTAGCAGATGAATGGACAAACAGGGACAGAGACACGGGATGGAATATTACGCAGCCACGAAAATGAACAAAGGGCTGATAGATGCTACATAATGTGGATGAACCTCAAAAAACTATGCTGAGGGAAAGAAGCCAGAGTGCAAAGACCTCGTATGATCCCATTTCTAGAAACTTCTAGAAGAGGTAAATTCACAGAAACAGAAAGCACACTGGTGGTCACCAGGTGTGAGAGAGGGCTGGGGCATAACTGCTTAGCGGATCTGATTCTATTCTGGGGTGTTGAAAATGTTCTGAAACTACAGGGAGGTGGTAGTTACCCCATTATTATGAAAACACGAAACGAAATGAAACTGGACACTTTAAAATGGTGAATGTGTTGTTACGGGAATTCTAAATGAATAACAATTATTTTTTTAAAAAAGAAAGGGCAAAAAAAAAAAAAACCCCCATCTGTCTTATTCCCCTGGGTCAGTCACATTGCTGTCCTGAGGTGAGCCCAGGCCTGGACGTATCATTAAGAGAAGAAGGCAACAGTGATACATGAAAAAAGCAGAGGATGGGAAACCAGAGTGGTTCTCAAAGTGGGGGTCCCTGGTCCAGCGGGACCAGCATCCCCTGGGAACTTGTTAGGAATGCCCATTCTCGGGCCCCACCCCAGAACTCCCGAATCAGAGTTCGGGATGTTCTGGCTGTTTTAACAAGTCTCCCAGTGGCCCCGATCAAAACTGCGACCCACTGCACTCGACTGCCGACAAGCAGAGCCTCGGTGGTCAGGAAGAGGAGTGGGCGGTGCGGGTGGAGGAGGCTGGACAGGGAAGGGTGGAGAGAGGCCAGTGAGTCTGCGGTTCTAGGCAGAGAGCCTCTCTGGACATCAGCCACCTGTGTGTCTCCAGTGCAGCGGAGATGTCTGTCTGCCCACCCAGGGAAAGGCCCCTGTCGACCCCCAGATGGCTGCAACCCCTCCCACCCCTGTGTAAGAGCCCCTGGTCACTGCTTACCCTTCCCGGTCGATATGCGGCAGGGGCTGCTTGGGCGTATGTCTCAGCTTCCGGTGGAACTGGGTGAAGTCTAGCTTTTCGGGTTGCAGGTCCCAGGTGGCACCACTGGAGGATGAGAAAAGGTAAGGAAGGGAGGTAAGGGGGCGACCAGCCCAGTTACTGATGGGCACCAGACAAGTAGGCACAAACCTGGCATGGAGTGTCCTCACGAAGAGGTGGGCAGGATGGGGAGGGCATCCACCAGCCAAGGGCAGGGTTGACAGAGATCCCTCACTCAGAATGGAGCCTGTGGTGTCAGCTCTGCTCACAGACATGGGGGCAGAAGGCTGCGTGCCAAGCCCTCACCTCTCTTCAACCTCGCTACGCCATAACATGTGCCGGTAAAACACGAGCGTCAGTCTGTGGCCTATCCTACCGCGAGCGGTCCCTCTAAAACACTCCAGAGTTTGCTCTCACACCTACACGTGAGGAAGGCTGGAGAGAAAGGAGGCCAAAACCAGAAGCTTCTGACAGAAGCTCAAAATGGCGGCAAGGCGGCTCTAAGGAGATAAGGCAAGTGCCAGGAGGCCAGGTGCCATCAGCCCCAGTCCCAGGAGACCATGGTGCTTCCATTCTGTGCAAACTGGAGTCTGAGCCAGGCATAGGCCTGAAGCATATGCGCAGTGTTGGCCAGCTCCAAGCCAGTGGCAGAGTGGAGCTAAAGGGTAACTACCATCCACAGTCCGAAGCCATCCCTCCCCAGAGGAATGAACATATGGTATGTACCCATTAGCAAACCTTTCAAGGGCACCGTCCCCACATACTGAGGTAGTCCTGGCCAATACCTGTTCTTCCAACTTGGTCTATCAGGAACCTTCCAGAGTCTGAACTACTGAAAGCCCTTCCCTCCTCTGGACCTCCCTGCAGCCATAGCCTCCATCGTCTGCTATATGCCATTTTCCTTTGCTCTTCCAACCACCAGTCCACCCCTCTGTCTTCTCTCCCTCTTCCCTGTGGTTGAACTATTAGCATCTGTCTTCTCTTCCCCCTCAACCCTCTCTCAGCCTCCCCTCCTTCTCTTTCTCTCCTTCCCTTGGATTTCTCCTTTCCCCTCATTTGCCTTCCTTCGATCTCCATTCTCTCTCTCTGACTTCTTTCCTCAGCGGTCTCATCCTTTCTACTTCACCCCCTCTTTGTTTCTCTCTACTTCTTGATCAGTGAACGCTCAACATTTACTCAACTTCCAACAACCCCATGGGGCTTCTATAAGGACAAGAAGCTGGTATCCCAGCCAGGGGTATACGCCACAGGCAAGAGGAAGGAGAGCTTACCTGAAGGAATCAAAGGTGTTGGCTGCCCAGATATCTGTGCCCAGCATGTCCAGAGAGTTGTCTTTGCTGCCATTCTGGAAAGGACGGGGGATGAAAAGGGTGGAGTCATTTCCTAGTTCAGGACAGTGAGAACAAGTAGGCAAAGGCCCATTCACAGAGAAGGCTGCAGAGGACTTCCCTCTCCCCCCTCGGTTGGTCATTCTGGGCAGCCTGAGGGCTTGAGAGAGCCACTAGAGCGAGCATCCTGGCTGGTGTGCCCAGTAAGAGTCACAAGGACCCCTGGTGTCCCCCCAGGCATAGGCCCTCACTTCGATGGTGTCTGACAACTACGCAGGCAGGTATAGGAATACCGTGGGTCTCTGCTGCCATCAGTCCATCACTCTCTACTCAAAGCTGCCACACTAATGAGCTGCTGCCACCATCACCAGCCTGATAGCAGTGGCTTCTTCCCAGGCATGGAGATTCTGCAAAGCCAGACATGGTGACAAATCCATGTTGAGGGGCTGACTTCATCTAGGGTTAAGCTCCCACTTCCCCAAATCAGGCAGCACAGAGAGGCCCCCATTGACCAAGGTTACACGAGCAATTAAATTCTCTAAGTAACCCCCTCCAGTCTTTGTCCTCCAACGTCCCCTATATGATCTATCCCGTAGACAGAAAGCACTTTATTCCATCCAGTCTCTACAATTTGGCTTCTCTGCCCCTTGGCTAATGATCTCTCCAAGTTCTCTGGCAACTTGCCTTCACTCCTGATGTCATCCATCCCTCGTTACCCCTACAGTCCACTCTCATCATCAATACTTCCACCTCCAGTACATCTGGGAGTGTGCACACCTCATGACCCAGAAGTCATGCCCAGGTACAAACACCAGTGAAATGTGCACAGATGTTCCCCAGCAGCGTGAAGCACAGAGCTACAGAACAGCCTGATGCATAATACATCCACGCTTACTGGAAGTTGACCAGACGCATAAACTGTGGTATATTCACATACTAGAATATTACACGGCAGGGAGAATGAACAAATTAGAGCAACATACAATAGCAGAAGTCAATCCCCCAAAACACAAAGTAGAACAAAAGAACCCAGACACAAAAAAGTACCAACTCTATGACTTAATTTATATCAAGTTCAAGGATAGGCAAATTAACTAACCTGAGGAGATGGAGTTTAGATAGAAGCTGGGGGTGGGGTGGGGGCCATGGGGGAGCTGGTAATGTTCTGTTTCTCAATCTGGGTGCTGATTACATAAATGTGTTCAGCTTGTGAAAACCCACTGAACCATACACATGTGATATGTGCAGATTTTCCATGTGTTTTAGGACCTCCTGGTTAGATTCCTGGTAGCATCCCCTGTCTTTATGACCAATCTCTCCCCAAACCTGCCACATCTCAGGTCCTTTAGCTCCAACACTGGACAAGCTTCTTTTGAGACCTTGCCATGAAGTTAGGCCTGGCCAGACACTGAAGACACAGAAGTGGAAAAGTCACAGGCCCTGACTGCAAAGAATGGTGTGTGATGACACACATGTAATAAAAAATTATAAGACAGCATGATATGTACACTGATTCAAGGGGCCACAGTAGCACAGGCAAGTTTCCTGGGGACTCCCCTTGAACAGGGGATGCAAGTATTCATGAGGGTCATGCAAGCAGAGGGAAAAGCAGGGACAGAGTCATCCTCGTAAAGGGGTTGGCATGTAGAAACAGCAGGACACACAGGGTATTCTAGATAAGTTTAGGGGCTCTGTGGAGCACAGCAGCCTGGAGAGTGTCCAGGGGTCCCAAGCCCTAGGTGAGTTGGTGATCTCCAACATGACCCACTCTGTCCTGGCCAGGACTTCCTAGAGGCCCCACAAGTGCGCCTCAGTGACTGTTGGGGTTGCATGGTGGCCCTCTTCAATTCGTATGTTGAAGTTCTAACCCCTAGTACCTCAGAATGTAACTCTATTTGAGAATAGGTGGTTGCAGATGGAATTAGTTAAGATGACATCACACGGGTGGGCCCTAACACAGTATGCCTGGTCTCATTATAAAAAAGAGGAAATTTGGACACAGAGACAGACACGCACAGAGGGAGGACTCCATGGGGAAACTGGAGTCATGCTGCCACAAGCCGAGGAACCATTGGGAGCTGGGAGAGAAGCCTGGACCAGATCCTTCGTTGGTGCCTTCACAGGGATCATGGCTCTGCCAACTCCCTGATTTCAGATTTCTGGACTCCAGAGCTGTGGGATGACTACACCTTTCACTAGGCCGACCCAGTTTGGGGATCAGAAATGTAAAATCAAGCAGCCCTAGCAAACTAATATGGCAATCAACCATCCATCTGTCTACAGATGCCCTTTGTGAGGGTGGTCAGTCATGTCCCTTCCTCCCGCAGTTACCAGTTACCCCAACCCTGTGACCTTCTCCTGTCCTCACAGCCATACCCAACACCTGAGGCCTAGGGTTTCCCAAAGCCTACAAACACAGCAGCCTGGGTAGACAAGTCCAGACCCATGCCGGCTCAGGCTGGTTTCTGACTCTCAACATCCACCCCCCAAGGGGCCAGCCCCTGAAAAGTCCCACGTGCTATTTTCCCTGGTGGCCACTCCCCTGCAGACAGCGGCCAACATCGCCCCAGAGCCTGTTGAACAAAGCCCCTGTGGACTAGAAAAGAACCTGAAGTGGGCTCAGTGACCCCACCCCTACCTCTCCCAGCGACTGCAGACGCCAGCATCTTGACAGAGAAGGCCCATGATGCGGGGCGGGGGGAGGGTTTGGTTTTGTTTTGGATTCTTCTCATTTACTTCACATTGGCCAGAGCTGGTAAGCATGTTCTCCCTTACTGTACTGTACTCAGCATGCCCGACTCCCTGGCTCCTCACGTGGAAACCAGCCTAGTTTCCAGGGAGAGCAAGCAGTTTGCAGGTGCATTTCAGCCTTTAATCAATCAAAAGGAGAGGGAACACACTGGCCAGTGGAGAGGTTGAGTAGCCCAGCCTCCCAGCAGAGGGGCCCAAGCGCTGGGCTCCTCGCAGACACCAGCAGGAGACAATGAGGGGCTGTGGGGAAAAGGGAGAGCAGTAAACGGGGGAGGGGGGTGGCTGAGGGAACAAAGGGGAGTGGGCATGACCTCATACCTCATCAGTAAAATCAGGACTGGCCTCTCTTGGCATCACCAGCCAGAAGCCCTAGGTTCTAAGTGACAAATCTCTCTCCTCCCTCCCCATGCCCTGAGAGCTCCTTCTCTTTCCACTGTGCCACAATCCTCTTGTCAATCAACCACATTTACTCGAGCCATAAGCTTCTCCATATGGTGCCAGACGGCAGCTCTGTGCACCTGGGTCCTTCCTACCCACACCTGTCTAGTCCTGTGTTCCCACAATCCCTTTCATTACTGACAGTGTCCTACCATCCCCATCTTGCTCCTCGCCTGTCCATCTCCTTCAAAGCTTGCCACCTCCAGGAAGCTCATCTGACCTCCCAAACTGCAGTCACCATGCTCTGTCCTGAATGTACCACCCATGCAGCTGAGGTGCGGCCGCAGAGCTCACCTGTGGCAGTTCTCACTCCATCTGCTTGTAGAGACCCCTCTCCCATTCTAGATCAGAGACACTGGCTGGCAGGCACCTCACTGGACCCCCATGGCTCTTTGCTCACTGCCGACAACGTGTCTGCTGAACTTTCACCTCAATAAACTTTGGCCGTCTTCCCCAAGCTTATGTTTTCCTCCTGCCACAGTGACCTTGCCTTGTGACCTCAATGAAGTCTGGACTTGAGATTCTTTGTATTTAAGTAAAGTGGTCTCTGAGAGTGCAATGCTGTGTGCTCCAGATGGGTTTCTTCTGGCACGCGCGCTGCCGCCAAGCCCCTTCCCACTAGCGGCAGACATCGCTAATCAGTTCTGGCATCATTTACAGCCTTCCAATCAGCTGACTGCTAATGTTCCAGATCACCCCCTCCTCCTCCCTTCTTGAGTTGTTTCATCATCCTCCCCATCCCAACTCCTGGTGTCTGGCTTGCTTCAAATGCAACTCTGAAATTGCTCATGGCTAGAGAGACACACAATCAACCCCCACAAGGAGACAGCTCCCAGGCCTCCTGAGATGTTATCTGGCATGTCCACAACACCCTTTCCAGGCCTCAAACCTCATAATCCAGGCGCATTTCACATTTTTTTTTTTTTAAGTAGGCTGCATGCCCAACATGGGGCTTGAACTTGTGACCCTGAGATCAAGAGTCACACACTCTATTGTCCTAGCCAGCCCCTGTGGGTATAGAGCATTTCAAATGCAAAGGTCAAAAAACAACAACAAAATCAAATAAGCAAATAAATTCTGCTTCTGAAGTATGTGTCTGAGACCTCACCCAGAGCGAAGTTCACTGTCCTTCAGAGTAGCACACAAAGTCTTTCCCTGATCCCCTATGCTTTAAATACCCAACTGATGGCGCCTACAAATTCAGCTTAAGACCATTGCTTGTCAATGGTTCCCTTAGAAGAATGTTAAATCTTGGGGTGCCTGGGTGGCTCAGTTAGTTAAGCATCTGACTTGTAATTTCAGCTGAGATGTCATGATGTCAGGTCATGAGATCGAGTCCCGTGTCAGGCTCCACGCGTCAGGCTCCACGCTTGGCGGGGAGCCTGCTGGAGATTTTCTCCCTCCCTCTCCCTCTGCCCTTTCTCCAACTTGCACACACATGCTCTCTCTTTCAAATAAATTAATTAATTAAAAAAAAAGAATGGTACTCTTCAAGGCAAGTTTTTTCCCCCCAAATTGTTTTCCTGCAGTAAAATGCAGATAACATAAAGTTTACCATCTTAACCATTTCCAAGTGCACAGTCCAGTGGCGTTAAGTACGTTCACGTGGTTGTGCAGTCCTCATTGCCATCGTTCTCCAGAACTCCTCTCACCCCGCAAAACTGGACCTCCAATCCCAATGGATGCTAGCTCCCCATCTCCCCTCTCCCGAACCCCACCCCCACCTTCCTACTTTCTGTCTCCATGATTTGTACCACTCTGATACCTCACCTGAATGGAATCACACAGGATTTGTCTTTTTGTGACCAGCTGACTTCACTTAGCATAA